GAATCTTCTCTCTGTTTGTTTTGTTTTATTTCGTCTCATTAGTTAATTTGTTTATCCTCGGTCATGTGATACTACGTGATGTGATGTAATGTAATGTGGTGTGTACACAGAATGTTTGAAATGATTATTTCACTTCATAAACACTAAAACCGTGTCTCTCTCTCCTTGTCTCTCCCCCTCTGTGAATACGTAATAGTCAGTGTTTATATTAATTAGACAGTCGATTAGACCTAATTCGGGTAAATTCAGACAGATGAGGTTTCAGGTCAAATGACTGAGAATTATATGTATGAAAACAAAACACGTAGATTAGCGAAGAGTCTCTTTTCGACAGCGAATTCATTTTCTTAGCTGTACAATCGCAAATATGTATGTGTTATTTTGTATGCATGTGTACATCAAATTTGTCAAACAAAAATACAATTAATTAAGGTTATTTTAACTAAACAGGTGAAGATTGGTATTACAAGTCAAGAAAATTAGGTGTTAATGAAACTAGGGTAGTAACAAAGGTGATGAGTTGTCACAAACAGTTGTTAAAAGAAGTTATGTAATAAAATTAATAGTTTGATGAGTGAGTTTTTCTCAGGATACACATAGGAACAAAGTAGATAATACGAAATTAGGCTCCCATCAGCTCTTCTTATTAGTTCCACATCAAGAAACGGAATTTTTGATTCGCTTTCCATTTCAAAACTGAATCTTATTGCTGGATGGCGGCAACAGTTAAATGTCTTCAGCAGTAGATTGGGGTCATTGCTTTTGTTACAAATAATGAAAATTTCGTCCACGTATCTTTTATACAGTCGCAAATTGTCAATGCTCAGCTTTAGTGGACCTCTCTCGAGACTTGCCACGAAGCAATCTGATAGTAGTGGACCCAACGGATATTCTATTGCAATATCATCTTTTTGTCTGTAGATGGTGTCGGTGAATGTGAACTGGACGTTTAGAGTACATCTCAATAATAATTCTTTCAAATATGTTGTCGGTATTCCAATATTGAGATGGTTGTCATCCATATATCTGCATATGAAGCAGACCGTTTCCGTGAGTGGGACATTGGTGAAAAGTGATTCAATGTCGAAGGACAGCATAATTTTGTTAGATACATTCATGTTTTGTAAGCAGTTGATGAACCGGAAAGTGTCACGGAGCGAGTGCGTACTTAATTGTCTCCTTACAGGTTGCAGAAATTCTGCATACCTTTGGTATTATATATATATATATCCTTCACGTTCCCAGTGGAACATAGGGCTCCAAGCTAGAGGCTTTAAGTTTCTGTAGCATTCTTAATTTTTACAGGATGGGGTTGCTAGCCTCATGCCCAACCTTTCCTCTCTACCTGCCTTATTGTTGGATAAGTGAGGTAAAGGACTGCGTCGGCCGGGGATCGAACCCCGGACCATGTTCATGGTCGGCGAGCGTCCTAACCGCTATGCCACCGACGCACATGTATTATATATATATATCCATCTGAGCGTATATGTGTGATTATAATTCATGTGAAGTGAACAGATAGAAGAAAGAGTTGAATTCAAATATGAGTTTTTACAGTCGATTCTTTGACTTAGTGTCAGTTTGAATGTGAAGAATATTCTTTTCATAATAATTTCTGCACATCAGGTCCTTACTACAATGATAAAATATGATATTTGTTTTCAAGTATTGGTTTTGTAGGGATTTTGTTTGATTGGTTGGAGGTGGATTTCATCATGAGCTGACATCAGTTAAAGAACCACTTGAAAACCTGGAGGGAGTACTGGATAGTTGTTTCGTCCTAGTTTGGGACTCTTCAGCAGTACGCACCCACCGGGTTTCGAGCCCTGGACCTTCTGGTTACAAGGCCAGCGGGCTAGCTCGTAGACCATTGAACCACAAGGACCTGAACCCCGGTGGGTGCGTACTGATGACGAATCCCAAACTAGGACGAAACAGTTGTCCGGTACTCCCAGGTTTTCCAGTGGTTCCCTAACTGATGTCAGCTCATGATGAAATCCTCCATAATATTTGTTATCGTTACAATTGATGGCGAATTATATGCAGCGGATATAATTTTACGTAGAAAATAACAGATTAGTTATTTCAGTCTTACTATCTCCTCTTTAAAATGCATACGCTGTACCAGCCACTCACTTACCTGATACCTCTACATATCCTTGAATTGGCTTATCAGTTTTGCCTACCGCACATTCTACTAATCTGTTTTGTGACTAATCACCAGCATCGTCGGTGGGTCGGTGGCACAGAGAGTAGAATGCTCGTCCGGGGTTCGACCCCTGGCCGATGCACTCTCGAACCTCGTTAAGCCAGTAAGTAATAAAACTGGTAAAGACGGAAGGTTGAGCATGGGGCTGGCAATCGCATCCCGTACAAATAAACACCACTGGTACCGAAACTTAAAGCTTTTGCTTGAACTCCAATGTTCCACTGAAAACAATACTTTGTAATTGATATCATTTTCTTCCCGGATACGATTAGCATCACTTACTTTTTAAATCGACGAATTCAAATGAATCTGAAACAACTCCTTGCTGACAGAGATTATCTCTGATAGGTAGGAGAATGTTTGCAATCCATTTGGCTGGCAGTAGCATAATATGATGAATTTGTCATATCCAAGATTGGACGTAGTGGTACGTTCTTTTGTAGAGCATATAACCGGGGAATTACAGAACTCATATAATTCAGAGCTGATAATCGATTCGTTCTTCATCTTCTCCAGCATATGTTTTATCCTCCCTTCAATTTATTCCGTTTCCAATCTTTCTGGTTACTTTCTTTTGAAAATTTGTTTTCATCTGATATGATGGATCATATTTTATTGACGTAGTACTGGCGATATTTTTATCAGGACAATGCCAGTACCTTTATCGGGATCAGATCAACATCAAGTCTTTATTCCTTAAAATCTCATGTGGTTGCTTTCTGTGCTCAACTGAAATCAATCGTTGGACATTTGCTTTTCTTTAAGTATTTGTTTTGTAGGGATTTTTGTTTGATTGCATGGAGGATTTCATCATGAGCTGACATCAGTTAGAAAAAGAACCACTGCAAAACCAGCCAGGAGTACTGGACAGCTGTTTTCGCTAGCAACTGGCCGTATTCAGGCAGTTAGCCTGGGTTCTAGTGGGAAGTCGTGACCAGTAGGGTACAGCAGGTTGAAGATGAGGCAGTAACTCATCGAAGAAGACATTACGAAGTGGTCGCTCTGTGTCGTGAATTGGCAGAAGTTAGATTTCAAGAACCATTGGATCTGGTCCTAGTGGCTGAATGGTCTACGAGCTCGTCTTGTGATTAGAAGGTCCTTGGTTCGAACCCCGCCAGGTGGGTCCGTACTGCTGAAGACTCCCAAACTAGACTGACGAAACAGCTGTCCAGTACTCCCTGGTATTCCAGTAGTTCTCTAACTGATGTCAGCTCATGGTGAAATCCTCCATACAATTATAATCATGGTTAAATGTCAAGTAGCAGAACAATTAATGTCATATATAAAATAATAATTCATAAGGTGTATAGATGTTGGAAAGGGGTACATAATTATAGATTAGTAGGCGAATATAAAATGTTACATAACACCCTGTGAAATTAGATAAGATAGAATTCAATATTGTAAAAATGAAAATTAATAATTTTGGATTTAGAATGACTATTGGGACAAACGGAAACAATTCAGAGTGATAACAGTGATAGTAATAATAATAATCGTAATAATAAGAGCAAGGTACATAGAATAACTAAATAAACAAAATAAATAAATGTCTATCCTTCTACGGCCAAAGTCAGAAGTAAGGATTGTACATATTTCTTTTGTACACAAAGGTCTGGCTTAAATTCAAGAATGGTGAGGGCCTCCTCTGTCTTTAGAAGTCTGTAACAGAAAAAACGCGGCCAGCAAGTTGGCATAGATTCTGTGTATGATCTTGAAATCATGGTCAGGGTCGACAGAGTGACAGAAATTCGATCAGGTGTTCTAGAATTGAGCTTCTCACACACTTCCTTTCTCCCTTGTACAACCATGCTGCTGGAATATGTTCTCGTATCCGTGTGGAAACCGGTGTCCTCTGTCTACGGCCAATGTACCTTGCTCCACCAGAGGAGCAGGTGAACTGATAGATGCATATGGAGACTGCCAGACGGGGGAGCATATCTTTTGCATAGATGGAGAACAACTTCCGGCTGGTGGAGGTCATTTGTAGCAACATTTCGCAGCAAAGAACGTTTTATTGACTGAACTAGAGAGACAGTTTTTTTGAGCATATCTGAAGCTTGATCACCTTTGAATTCCAAAGTCATAAAAATGGTTTTCTTTGGAACTGAGTCGGTGACCAGTTTAGACTGTTTTTCTTTCGTGTTTCTGTTAATAAAGCTGTTTGGGTAACCGCAGAAAACGGTTATTTACTCAATAATCAAATTCATCGAGGGTAATTTTGTGATTGAGTTTACCCCAGAGCAAGTTTGTCACACAAGCAGTAGTATTTGTTTTGTCACCTCTTGAACTAATCGACGTAAAAATGTACCCGCACAGTAGACACAGTTATGAATAAAGTTAAGAAATCCACAGCCGACCTTATTCGCCGAATAAAGCCGTTTCTAGGTGAGTCTAAGTGGTTGAATTTAATGCTCAAAACTAATAACTCCAGTAGCATGTATGGTGTTGTCAAAGTTCATAAATCAGGATATCCTATTAGGCCTATATTTGATTTTAGAAATTCACCTACTTATGAATTATTGAATTGAATTTTGATTTTCCCGTCGATGGATTGGACCGATCGGTCTCAGGTTGACATGTCGGCTTCTTGTGCAGATGCCTCGACGATGTCTGGGCATTTAATTAGTATACAATTGGTGGATGGTAGCTAGCAGTGGAATCCAGGATGCGCATTTCGTCCTATTTGGTCTACTTGATAACGCTTTGGCGTTTGAAACTATGGGTACTGGGTTCGAGCCTCGGCGGGAACATCATCACTCACTGAGAAATGCAGGTACATCCAGCTGACGAGTCCCAAATAGGACGAAATGCGCGTTATCCTGGATTCCACACTGCTAGTCACCACCATCCACCGATTGTATACTTATGAATTATCTAAATATTCAGCCATGGTATTATTATTATTATTATTGTATCCTTTAGTTCCTAGAGGAACATAGGGCTTCAGCTGCGCACCTCCATTGACTTCGGTTTTCTGACAACTTTTTCACCCTGCTCCAGGTCTGTCCACATGCTTTCATCTCCTCCTCGCATGACCTCCTCCAAGTCACCCTTGGACGACCAACTCGCCGCCTCCCTTTCGGGTTCCACTCGAGGGCTTGTCTAGTGATGTCACTTGATGGTTTCCTCAGCGTATGGCCAATCCATCTCCATTTCTTTCTGCCTATTTGTTTCACAATCGGTTCCTGATTGGTTCGCTCCCAGAGATCCCTGTTGCTGATCTTTTCTGGCCATCTGATCTTGAGTATTGAGCGGAGACAGTTGTTAATGAAGGTTTGAAGTTTGTTTGAGATGCTCTTTATGACTCGCCAAGTCTCTGATCCGTATAGTAGCACTGACTTCACATTGGAGTTGAAAATCCGGATCTTATTTTTGATGCTGATTGCTGTTGACCTCCACACAGATTTGAGAGTAATGAAAGCTTGTCTTGCTTTTCCGATTCTGGCTTTGATGTCCTCGTCAGTTCCGCCTGTAGTTGAGACGATGCTTCCCAGGTAGGTGAAGGAGGTTGTTTCTTTCAGGTTCTTCCCATTTATGCTTATTGTTGTCTGTTGTTGTTGTTGCTGTTGATGTTGGCTAGGAATCTTCATCATCTCTGTTTTATCTATGTTCACGTGAAGTCCTATCTTTGATGCTTCTTCTGCCAACTTGTTACTTTTCACTTGCATATCTTCCAGTTTATGGGAAATCAGACATATATCATCGGCGAAATCCAGATCCTCCAAGTCTTTTGTGTCAGTCCATTTTATGCCTGTTCCCTCGTTGGTTGCCGTTGTCTGTCGCATTATCCAATCAATTGCAATCAGGAAGATCATTGGTGATAGTAGACAGCCTTGCCTCACTCCCGTCCTCACTTCGAAGGCTTCCGTAAGTTTCCCGTTGTGGATTACTTGGCATGCAGCATTGTCGTATAACTGTTGGATGAGGTGTATAATTGTCGATGGGACCCCGTAGTAGCGAAGTAGTTTCCAAATGACCTCTCGATCGACGCTGTCGAAGGCCTTTTCAAAGTCGATGAAGTTGAGATAGAGAGGTGACTGCCATTCCAAGCTTTGTTCAATGATGATCCGTAGAGTGGCGATTTGATCAATACATGATTTGTTTCTCCTGAATCCAGCCTGTTCCGGACGAAGTTTTTCATCTAGGGCTTGTTTGATTCTCTCCAGGATGATGCGACTTAGTATCTTGCTTGGAATGGACAGAAGCATAATTCCACGCCAGTTTTTACATTGACTTAAGTCTCCTTTCTTTGGAAGTTTGAATAAGTAACTGTTCTTCCAATCCTCGGGTACTTTGCCCTCTTTCCACACCTTCTCCAGTAGTGGTGTCATCAAGTCCGCTGTTGTCTCTGGGTCTATTTTCAAAGCCTCTGCTGGGATTCCATCTGGTCCCGGTGTTTTCCCAGTTTTAAGCATCTTGATTGCATTCAGGACTTCTGATTTCGTCGGGGGGTCAGTGTTCACTGGTAGTTCTGCTTCCGTTGTTGGTATTGCTGGACGTGTTGTAGGTGGCGGACGATTTAGAAGTCTTTTGAAGTGTTCAACCCAGTGCTTTCTCTGTTCCACCTCTTTGGTGATTGACTTTCCATTGTCGTCCTTTATTGGCTTAATCTGTGTCGAACGTTTGCCCGAAAGGTTCCTAGTTGTTTGGTAGAGTGTGGCGAGGTCTCCTTTGCCTGCAGCTTGTTCTGCTTCGTTTGCCATGGTTTCATAATATTTTCTTTTGTCTTCCCTGGCACTTTTCTTCACTCTTTTGTTCAGTGTATTGTAGCTTGCATTCAGCTCCTGTTTTTGTTGCTCGTCCGTGCACTGGATAATCTTTTGCTTCACTGTCCTTCTCTCTTCTATTAGTTTCCAAGTGTCCGTAGTGAGCCACTGTTTGTCCTGTCTCTTTTTTCTGCCTAGAATTTCTATGCAGGTTTGGCTCCACACCGTTTTCAAGTTGTTCCAGTGCTTTTCAACGCCGACCTCTTCGCTAGTGTTGATTTGTGTCTCGGCTTTGTCCTTTATGCTTGCAATGAAGATGTCCTTTGTAGCCTGGTCCTTCAGCTTTTGAGTGTTGAACTTGGCTTGTGGTCTATCTGCAGCTCCTGATTCCCTGAAAGCTTTTAATTTGATTTGGATTGTCCCTTGTACGAGATAGTGGTCTGAGCCAACGTCTGCTCCTCTTCTTGCTTTTGTGTCCAGTAGGCTGCGCCTCCACTTCCTTGAGATTGAGATGAAGTCGATTTGGTTTTTGGTTTGCCCGTCTGGTGACACCCATGTAGCCTTGTGGATATCTTTGTGCTTGTATACACTGCCACCAATCACCAGTTCGTTGAAGGCGCAGAAGTCGGCGAAGAGTTCTCCGTTTTCATTCATTTCTCCTAGAGCTTCTCTACCCATGATGAGTTCCCTTCCCGTATTGTCTGGTCCCAGTTTGGCGTTCATGTCTCCCATTAGTATTTTCATGTCGCCAGCTGGAGTATTGTCCATTGTTGCCTGTAGTTGCCTGTAGAATTCTTCTTTCTTCTCGAGGTCTGCGTTGTTTGTGGGTGCATAACATTGTATGATTGACACTTTCCTTCCTTTGGAGTTGAACCTGGCGGTCATTATCCTGGACGAAATCGCCTCCCATTGTATCAGGGCTTTCGTTGCCGTTGGTGACATCATGATAGCCACGCCCTCGGTGTGCGTGTGGTTATCTTCTGGGTGACCGGAGTAGATCACTGACTCACCTGTTGACAATTTGGTGAGTCCACTCCCATTCCATCTGCTCTCACATATTCCCAGCACTTGTATTCCGTATCTTTTCATCTCGTTGGCGATCTGGGCAGCTTTCCAGTCTCGTACATAGTTCGGACGTTCCATGTTCCTACACAGACTTTTTCTTTTGGTGCAAGGAGGTTCACATACTGAAGTTTCTGTAGCAATTTTTGTTTACAGGGTGGGGTTGCTAGCCTCACGCCTGAGAAAAGAATGATTACATTAAGTAAAAGTTTAGAGAGAAGCAACTTTTTGGGTTGCTCCCCTCAAAATCAGAAAATAACGGACAAACAATGAGAACAACATCAACAAAGGAAACAGTTCACAGAAAAAAGGGCAAAAAGCGACGACAACTATACAATAAGACAACATGCAATATAGTTCAGTACAGTTAACTAAAATGATATCTTAACCATAAACTCACTGACTTGGAGCAACTTGAACATATAAATCCAACAATATATACAATTATAGATGTGTTTATGTTTAAAAATTCCACAAATCCAAACAGTGAGTTATGTGTATTATCTGTCAATAAGATTGTATTTTTTGGATTCAGTGTTCGAAAGGTTAATAATTGTGATAATTTCCGCAAACACTTTGCATAAAATTTTAGAGTAATAAGAGATTTTATTTATGACCAAAATGTAGCGTAATAGTCGAAAAGCGCGCTCAAGGTCCATGGGTCATGGTATTAAATCCTCTAAAAAGCCACTCGAAATCTAGACTAACTAATTCTTATGAACTAAAACACAGATTAGATAATTTAAAATTAGATAATGAAGAAAAAATGGTTAGTTTTGACATTGCCAGTTTATATACATGTATACCAATAAATATGGCTATAGAGGCAGTCAGAAACGAACTCATTTCTGACCAAGAACTCGAACTTAGGACAAAAGTGCCACTTGAGGATATAATGCTGAGAGTGCAGCTTTGCCAGACTTCTACAGTATTTAAATTCCAAGGGAAAATATACAAACAAACTGAGGGAGTTGCCATGAGATCACCAATATCCCCGGTTGTAGCAGATATATTCATGGATAGGTGGGAAAATATAGCAATTGAAACGTTCGCCCCCACTCCATAATTATGTAGATGACACATTTATGGTACTTAGAACACAGATAGATTTTTGAACACATTAACTCCAGGTGGGGGGTAATTCAATTCACTTATGAATTGGAAAGTCATGAAAGGGAACTTCAAATGTTAGACTGCAACGTAAAAAGGAAAGAAGACTGGAAGTTAAACACTAGTGTTTACAGAAAACCTACACATTCGAACAGGTAGTCGAACTTCAGATCATCCCATCCAATCTATGTCAGTAAAAAGAGGATTGGTGAAATGTTTAGGTGACAGAGCACAAAAGCTTAGTAGTACCAAGGAAAATCTAAGACAGAAAGAAGCCTTGAAACTTAATAATTACCCGGATAAATTAGTCCGGAAATATGTAAGGAAATGTAAAAATAAAATAAATAATGATAGTAGCGATAGTGATAATAATAATGGTAATAATGATGATGATAATAATAATATTAATGACGACACCAACAATAAGGAATATAAATCATCAACAATAATTCCATACAAAGAAGGAACCGCAGAAGCCTTACGCAGAATTCTTAACAAGGCAGGAATAAAAGTGGCATTCAAACCCACAAACTCAATTAGAAACAAGCTTTGTCGGTTAAAGGATCAATCCTGTGGAGCCTTTAAAACACAACAATTTAGTTTATCTAATAACCTGTGTGTGATGATTGTCAGGTGAAATACATAGGTCAAACTAGTAGAACAGGGCAATCAGACTAGCTGAACATAAAAACTAAGCAAAATCTAGATTGGTTGACCCAAATAAGATAAGAAATCTAGAGGATAGTTCAGCTATAGCACTACATGCAGTTACACACAACCATACAATAGGATGGATGGGATAGGATGACAGTTTTAAAATCTAATGTCTCAGCAGGGTGGAGGGAGGGAGAGATTGATAAGAGAAGCTTTGTTTATCGAATCAACTGCAAATACATGTAATAGGAATGATTCAACACCTGTTCACCCAGGTATCTGGAAAATTCTGCTACCACGCCTACGACGAGAAATAGGAGAGGACAAAGACACCTATAAAACTGAAGTTTTGAAGTCGTATGTGATTATAATTGATAGGATGTTTGTGAACAATAAATTTTGTTCGAAACTTTGTCATCCACTAAACAGTAATACTGCTTCACTGACTATGTGATGCGTCTAATAAACAAACTAATATGGAATTACTTACTACCACCACCACAGTGCCCAAGTTTTACACATATAATAAATGTATCCGCCGTCTTTAATTAAATTGGCCATCACTTGTAACGATAACAAATATATATTAAATTTTGTCATTGTTGTAAGAGCCTGAAGTGGAGAAATTATTATTATTATTATGAAAAGAATATTCTTCACATTCAGATTGACTTTTAATTCCTGTGATACGGGAATATTTCATATTGTGAGATAATGACTAATCAATAAGCGCATCATGTAGAATGGACAGGAACTAGTGGAAAGGCTACAAAATGTGTTTTCATATAAAATGTGGATGATGGCAATAATATTGATAATAAAAGTAATAATTACAATAATAATAATAATAATAATAATAGTGAACTCATATAATGAAGGAAATTATAGTATAGCAAAATTATAGTAAGAACTTTACTCTGGCCACGGTAGGGTGGTGAGTCAATGTATGTATCGGTGTAGAATGCAGAAGTCCGGTTTTAGGTCTCGAATAGCTAATGCTTCAGCTATGTACATATGGCGTATCCTAAGTCTCTTTGTACGATATTGAGGGACTCTGTGTATGTATCACTGTGATGCATTCATGCAAGTGGGCGGGGGGGGTGCTCGATTTCCGGAGATGACAAGGTGTTCGAGGATAGAGCTGCTGCTCTCGCTAACCAAGCTGGACAGTGTTCCAGAATGCGTTTGTGGACTTGACGTTGCGTACGGCCGATATCAGTTGTTCCACACGAGCAAGTAAATTGATAAATACACATTGTAGTGGCCAAAAGCGGTATCTTGTCCTTAACGTTAGACTGGATTTACTGTCTGCAGGAGAATGTGATACGTACGGTGGCTGCAGTTGATTAAAACCTGGTTTTCTTGAATCATTCAGTTAAATTGTTTTAAATTCGTTTTCAGTTCACATCGGGTATATTACATCAATACGCTTAGATGAGTTGAAGTCTATCGTCGTATATAATTTGACCTGAAAGTGTATATGTCTGAATTTAACCGGAATTAGGTCTAATCGACTGTCTAATAACATAAACACTGACTGTTAAGTATTCACAGAGGGGGGGGTGGAGAGACACGACCTTGATGTTTATGAAGTGAAATAATGATTTCGAACATTTTGTGTACACATCACATCACATGATTGAGGATAAACAAATTAACTGATGAGACGAAATTATTGTGCTGGTCAAGGTTTTGCGTCGTCTTAATTTTTTTGTTGTTGTTGTCGGCTCTTCGGCTATCGTATCCTATGCCTTTGTTTTGAGTTTCGGCTGGACTTCAATGCTTTTGTATTTTCAGTAGCGTGCTAATATTGGTTTTTTTTGGGGGGGGGGTGGTGAGGTGGTTGCCAGCTTCATACCCATCTCTCCTTTCTTTTTTTCCCAGGTTTAACTATGGTTTAGTAAAGTAGGCAAAGTTTAGAAATGCGTCTGTTGCGGGAATCGTCTGTCTGTCTGTGTCTGTTTTCGACATGTTCTCTGGCTACCAAGCCACACACACCAATGATCTTAGGCCTTCACCTTTTTGGTCTTCTTAGGCAGCAACACAGCCTGGATGTTAGGCAGGACACCACCCTAGGCAATGGTAACACCACCGAACAGTTTGTTCAACTCCGTGTCGTTGTGGATAGCCAATTCCATTGCAAGTGTCGAGGAATGATACGGGTCTACTTGTTGTCGTGAACGTATTCGAGAACACCTGCCAAGTAGACGGGCGCTCCAGCACCGATGCGTTCAGCATAGTTACCCTTGCGCAAAAGACGATGTACACGACCAATTGGGAAGTGAAGACCAGCACTAGCAGATCGAGTCTTTACCTTTGCACGAGACTTTCCACCTTTGCCGCGACCACTCATGATTGTACGTGAGGGAATCGTACGAACCTTAGGCCCCATGTACATGTGGTTAGCTAGCATTCTATCGTTGAACCACCCATGACATTCGGAAACATTTTACTCAGTAAACCATTAGAATTAATTTCTTTACAGGCGTTGGTTTGTAGGGATCTGTTTGCTAGATCAATCTCAAACTTGATCGTGAGCTAATACACACCATTTAAAGAATTACTGAAGACCAGGTAGTAGTGGACGTTAATTTCACCCTTGATGATGGGACGCCTCGGCAGTAGTCATCCATGACCTCACCGATACGGATTGCACCCAGGACCTTCAGGTCACTAATAAATGTGTAGGAGGAAATGAAGATTGATGGATTTACCATACTTGCTGAGCAGACTGTTGATTGACATCGCACGTTAGGCAGACTTCCTAGTCATCGCCTTCCTCGACAGTGGGCAATGTTAGCTGACATAGGGTCAGACTGGAAAAGAGCTAGCGGTGGTCAAACCAAAACACGGCTTCACCAGTCCATGAAATCCAAAACAGTTAGTTTAAGCCAGTCAGCCACGTAGGAAGGTGTAGACTTCCTGACTGGTTGGTGTCTTCGGGACGGTAAAAATCAATGGCTGGAGAAAGACAATTTGTGATATGGCTCAAAGTGAACGTTCTCGATGGCTAGCGCAGATGCATCCACTCCTTGTGACTTATAATTTCTAATGAAACTATGTTGTTCTTCGTTATTACTATTCTTTTTGCCTGACACCTCTGTTTACTCTCTCTATTATTCATTTCTTCTACTTTCTTCTCTTTCTTTGTGTGGTACATGGAGGGGAGTGTGGCGACTTGAACTGGTTCACATCGTGCAAAGTTCTATGTCGAAAATGGACAGACAGATAGGCAGGTTGTCGAGAATAACCGAAATGGAAAACAAGGAGCTGTTGAACTTCACTTTGATGATGGTATGGAGGAAGAGGTCATTTGAAGAGGCGATAAAAGATTGTGGACATTATAGTGTGGAACCAGTTGAAGAGAACTGTGGAAAACAGGATGTGATGAAATGGCGATTTGCTTCCAGTTGAAATCCTATATATTCCACTCTCAGAACCTGAGAAAGTAGTGATGGAGAAAAAAAATCCTTATTTAGACATTTAGAAAACAGAAAGATTGAGCGAAGGAATCTTTACTTTTTTCAATTAGATCCTCATCTCACTCTGGCTCTACTCTAATATACACGTGTGGCGCAACAGTTTACCAATCATCAAGTGGCACTGATATGTTTGTTAACAAGAATTAGTCAGTGTCACCATGTCAAGCAGTGGGGTGATAATTAACGAAGCAAATCAATACACACAATTAAAATGTAGAAATGGTTAGCATAAATTAATTTTACTAGGATAACACGTATTTAAAGATGAAGTGGTCAAATAAATAAAAACTAAAATAATTTGGACAATTATAATTTTTTTATAGTTTTTAAAAGTTTAGCCAGGGGGTGGGGGTGGGTTGCGAAGTAGTCCGGTTTATACAATCATGTAACGATGGCCAAGGTAAGGAAAGTGTCTGTACAAAAATTTTTCTAAACATACACAGGTTTGCCTTCTTCCACAGGTGGATTCTGATTGCTTCAACTGTAGGTATGTAGAAGACGAACTCGTAGAGCAAAATTAAGATTAGTAAGGAATGTGATAGATAATTTTAAATGCTGTAGTCATGATTTATTTCGAATATTTTGCTTCTGATGATAATGTAGTGTCACATTGAAGAACAAGTACACTACACTACTCCTTTCTTAAGAATAACAGCAGCCATGATTATCGTATATGTGTATCGTAACAATGAGATTGAAATAATTTTCCACCTATCTAACTGTTATACTTTTAATTTACATCGTTACGTGTTATTATTTTTGAACAGCAATCGATCTACTGGATCGCTTACTCACATTCAATCCAACAACACGTATTTCTGTCGAAGAAGCATTAGCTCATCCTTATTTTGAGCATTATTATGATCCAAGTGATGAGGTAAATATTGTTGTTGTAATTATTATTATTATTGTTTTTCATGAATTGTTTTTAAACATTATATATGTCATAACATGTTTCTTGGTTTAATGTTGATGGTTAGCTGTAGAATCTATTCGATACGCGTTTCGTCCTTTTGTTGGACTCATCAACTGCGGATGTACCTGCATATCCACTTATCATCCACCCAGTGAGTGATGAATGGTGTTCATACTGAGCCTGGAACGTAGTAGTAATCGTCGTTTCAAATACCATAGTCTTATTGACTAGCCCAAGTAAGTGGGTCATGAGAGCCACCTCTTGCGTGTAGCAGGCATTTAACTGAAGTCAGACTACTACTACTACCACTACTACTACTAATAATAGCAAAGCTTTAGCCGAGACACTATGTTGACACATAGTACATAATTTTTCAGCGTATTTTGTTCCAAAATAGTTTTTCTCTTCATACAGGATTTACTTGTACAGTAATAATCAGCGATTGACTTGCTACCACCGGGTAATAATCTTGTTGACTTAGAATATGCAGATGATATAGTCCTTCTAGACAAGGACGCTGATAAAATACAGCAGAGTCTTCTGAATACCTTCACTAGCTGGCAATCTACGAATGTTTGGCATGCGATTCGCTCCTGTCAAATGTAAGATGATGTTACAGGACTGGATTACACTAACTCCTAGTTTAGAAATAGGGAGTGAAGAGGTAGAGCACGTTGATTGCTTCATTTATTTGGGAAGTTGCATCGGCCACAACAGGTGGACCTCTGACGAAATCTCAGTAGGGATACAGAGGGCTAGTTTCGCATATGCCAATTTACGCCGTCTCTGGCTTGGTAGACGTGATATCCGGCTGGCTATCGACCAAAGGGCGGGTGTACTGCTCGGGACGGTAAAAATCAACGGCTGGAAACAATTGATGATACGGCATAAAATCGTTCTCAATTGTGCAGATGCATCCACTCCTTGTGACTTATGATTTCTAATAAAACTATATTGTTCTTCGTTATTACTATTCCTTTGTCTCATATCCGTGTCTACTGTCTTTATTATGCTTCCTTTTACTTTCTTCCCTTGCTTTGTGTGCTACGTAGAGGGAATGTGGCAATCTTGGTGCAAAGTTCTCTGTTGAAAACATACAGGCAATCTGAAGTATATCATGTGACGTAGACTGACTGACTGTCTGTCTCTATCTGTTTTCAACATTGAACTTTGCATCGATGCTCATCAGTTCAAGTCTCCACACTATATGTAGCACACAAAGCAACAGAAGAAAGTAGAAAATATGCATAATAGAGACAGTAAACAGAGATATGAGGCAAAAAGAATAGCAGTATGGAAGAACAATATAGTTTCATTGGGTAGATGCATCTACGCCATCCATTGAGAACGATTTTGAGTCATATCACCAATTGTCTCCAGCCTTCATTGGATTATACCATCTCAAGGAGCTCAACCACTCAGCCAGTCAGTTACACCTTCCTACGTGGCTGACTGGTTTAATTTAACTATTGTAGATTTCATTGACTGGTGCCATGTTTTGGTTTGACCGCCGCTAGCTCTTTTCAGCCTGACCCTATGTCATCAAATATTGCCCACTGTCGAGGAAGGCGATGACTAGGCATACATGAGTAACACAAGTCTTAACCATCTCAATTGATGTAATTTCACAGCCTCCTCGATTGATTTTCCCTCCTTACCACTTAGCACTTTACCATTGCCTGACCTGAATATTGCTCACCCTATTATACTACTTAACACGGAGATAGAACGGAGACATCTATGACCAAAGACAACTAACTGGCCTTTTCATGTCTTCCACAATCAATGACCATGTCTCACTCACAGCAAATCATAAAGGATGACGGAACGAACCACTGCTTAGCAGGACACATGTACTTTGATCGATAACCACCCGGACGTAAGTGACATCTAGTAAGCCAGAGATGACGTATGCTGGTTGGCAAATGCCAAACGAGCCTTCTGTATCCGTGGTGAGGTTTCTCAAGTGACGTAATATTGTTTCATGTGAAGAGACAACCAATTCTGCACATTCTTTTCATCATTTCTTTCAAAAATCACACAGCATTTTGTTGAAAGGTAATTAAATATTTCAGCGTGAGTTTATGTAATGATTCTCTGACATAATTACATAATTAAAAGAATAAGAATTTCAGAAGACTTTAAGTAGCATTTCGATGAATGGGGAAATTCTGGTAACTCCAGTAGTTTAAGCAGAGTCGCCTTGCAATTCAAACATCCCAGATCCAATCTCTATCGTTGAGGAAGGAGTGATTGACCAGGTACTTACAGCTTCAAAGTTCAAACTAGGCTGAAACAACTGTCCAGGACCTCCCAGTGTAACAACAGAAGACAAGGACCTGGCAACAGACCTTTTATTAAGGAAATCAACACATATTTATAGATTTTCATGTACATTATTATGGATTGTTTAAGCAAACGAACACAGTCTTCTGATTGGTTGCTTCTCAGAGAAAGTTGACCGTGCACCTCTTTGTGACTGTTTCTTGACTGTCATATCATCTATATGTTGACTGTATCTGCCTACTCAAAGTCTGCTCTGGTTGGTTGTCGAATCAGTTTTGTTCATATTTTCTCACGACCATTATTTGCGACACAAACATTGACGTAAATCACTGTCTACCAATCTAGCTAACAGCCAGCTCTCATCACACTCGTCCCCTCGTCTAAGACTTGCGACTGAAGTTGGTTCGGTCTTCTTGGTTCTAGAGGCTTTGTTCGTTTGTGTTGTTGTCTGGAATCTCGGCTCTCGCAGATGTTCACTCGTTTCTCTTTTATTGCCATTGTGATTGTGTCTGCGTAACCCCCTATCTCAAAGTGACCATATGTGGTCCTTCCCCCACTTTGGAAACTGTTTACCTGACCCTGTCGCACATTCGTCAGTATTTCGCCTCACACCTCCGCATGCTGCTTTCTCCTGACCTCCCAGCAGCGTTCCAAGTAGCAGCCCCATCACTGACAGATCTCGAGCGCCACTCAACTGCTCAGAAGCCTCGAAGTCCTGCCCGAAGATCCTTATGTCTCCATCAAGTAGTGCAGGGCATAGGCTTTCCATTTGTCTGTCGGTAGGCAGCGACACCAAATATAACAACAGAAGACACGAGCCAGGCAACAGATCGATGACGGCGTGCAACATGCGATCGGAAAGTGTTGGTTCTCCGATAAGGTTGTACATTTCATCCTCCATTATTGTCGGCATCATCTACATCCATCTCATTCATCATTTCTCACCAGTTGTTAATACCTGACTGACTGGTTCTCCCCACTGTGATTGTATTTTTCTTGAAGTTTTTATCTATTTAGTAAATAAGTAACGCTTTTGTTACGTTCTTCATCTTTTTTTTTTTTTGAAATGATTTTTATAGCCTGTCGCTAAAAAACCTTTCAGTTTTGAAGAAGAATTAGACAATCTGCCAGTTAGACAGTTGAAGAAAAAAATATTCCAAGAAGTCAGCCAATTTCGTGAACCAGATTGATTGATTAGTCTTCTACGATGACGGCGACGATTACTTCTACTACTTACTACTGCGATTATTACTATTATTATTATTTTTATTCTGTAATCATTTCCCCTAACTCCTCCTCCTCCTCTCCCCCCCTTTTCCACATTTATCCAGATGGTTTATTTGAGTAATGTTTCTTTTTATTTTTAAAAATTGTTTTCAAACATTCCATTAGTCGTGTTTTTCTCTTCTTTAGACTATAATTGATACATGGATGGATGGTAAAGTGGTAGTATTGTGGGGGCGGGGGTAGTTCTTCTTCGAATTCTTGTGTCTCCTCTCTCTCTGTCTGTGTATGTGTGGGGTGGGGGGTGGTGGCACGGTCTCTCCCTCCCCCCTCATTCTCTGACTGTCTTCTTCTTGTTTTGTTTATATTTCTTCATCTTACTTCTTGTGTTGTTTGTCACTAAGTATTGCTTTTTTATCTTCAGTATTCGGGGTTTTCATTTCCTGGAAACGGTGTCCACTCAACTGAACTGAAATGAACTCAATTCAACTCAACTGTGTGACTATCATGTTTTCTTAATGATTATATTCCGATTTATTTGCCTGACTAACTCTCATCCTTGCCTCCTATTTGATATATGGTTACTTGACACGCAGGAATTGTGCCTTAATTTTATCCCGTAATATACATTCGCAGACACATATACACACACACACAAAAGCACACGGAAGCACACATACACACACACACACTCCTATTAATAACTTCTCCGATGGATGACAACCTGTTAAGAGAGGTGTGGTGGTGGCGGGGTACATGCACTGTGTTCTCTTGCAATGCAGACACAGTCATTCAGTGTTCTCAGACGTGGTGTACATTCTCATTATTATTATTTTATTAATATGCACGTATATATATAATATTTCTGCTATTTTTTTGTGAATGATTCTTCTAATCTCTTGTGTACTTATTTTGGTAACCGATAAAGACGACGAGACAAGAAAATGTGTGTTGATTGTTGTTTTTTTCTTTGTATAAAAGACTTCATTGTTTTGTTGTTGCTCTGTGTTTTTGTGTGTGCTTGAGTGCATGTGTGCCCTGTGTACATTTCAGCGTTTATACATACTTACACCTACCTACCTACTTACCTATCTACCTATCTATCTATCTATGTATATCTTTACTTTTCTGTGTACATTGGATTCCATCCATTTATCGCTTTTGTAATGTAATGTGTAATCACATCAAAGATAATATTGCTTCGTCTCCTCGTATGTTCTTTGTCCTGTTACCATCTGTCTTTCGTTTCTCAGTGTGTGTGTGTATGTGTGTGTGTGAGTGAGTGTTTGTCTGTCTGTCTTGTAATGATATGTGTTCATCATTGTTGTGAATATTTAACGTAATATTGTATTATCACTAGCGTCTCTGTTTAAGTTTACATTTTTATCGATTATCTATTATTATTATTATTAATATCATCGGTATTACAATCATTCGTTTTTGTGCTTATTTTTGTGGTTTCATCAATTCGCCAAGCTGCCTTTTTTGTGTGCTGTCTTCTCCTCGTCTTCTTGTTTTTTCAATTCTCTCCTTTATCAATAAATATCTCAATTGTTTCAGAATAGATTTTTATCACTATTATAATACGTGTACATGTGGTGTGATAACTGCGTAATCCTACACTTTAAACTCCTTGCCACACACACACTACCCATCCACCGCCAAAGTTTATTCTGTGTACTCGGGATGACATAATAATAAATTGTAGTATATTACCACTTATCGATTATGTGATGTGTACACTTGAACACTTGATGTGTGAATGTGTATCCATGTAAATTTATTGTCTTTCTCTATACTCATTCATCACTTGTATTGCTTTCTTATCTTGTGCCAGTGTGTGTGTGTCTGTGTGTGAGTGAGTGGGTGGATGGGTAGTTTGAGTGGTTACGTAATTGTTACTTTTATTCCAGCCAGTATCATTATACCTCTTGTCGTGATATACTAAAAGAGTGATTTCGGATTCAAAGCGCGCGCGCACACACACACACGAACTCAAAGAAAACAACCATGTTTAAGTTTTATCCTCTCTTACGTAATCCTATGAACACTGTTACCATTCACCTTACAGTAATAATAACAATAATGATAATATTATTTGTCTTCCCATTGAGAAATGCATAACTGTGTGTGTGTGTATATATGCATATATCCATCCATGCCTACCGCACAGAGTTTCCGGGGGGGGGGATTGTTTTGTCTTGTTTTTTTTAAAAATTCAGTTTTCATTGTTGTTGTTGTTTGACATTGCTTTTAAACACTCTTTTTTCTTGCGTATCACAGTGTCTTGTGAGAACTATTCACCATTTATTATTATTATGACTGATCTTAATGAGAGTTTCCTCGCATTGTTTATTGATGCGTTTGTGTGTATGTGTGCCTGTGTTTGTGATTCAATATATTATTTGTATGTAAAGACAATATATATATATATATATATATATATATATATATAATAAAAATATTCTTTCGAAGTGATGTTGTTTTTACTGTGAATCGTTTTACAATTCTCTTCCTCGTCGACTTCGTACACTGACTTACCTCCCTCTGACATGAAACGGAAGCAGGAAGGAGTAATGACTTTTGCGTGGTTGATTGCAGAGCCTGATTGGGACAACTGTCTGTTTGTCTGTTTTCGAAACAGAACTTTCCACCGATGTGCACCAGTTCAGGTCTCCAAACTCCATGTAGGAAACAAAGCACGAGAAGTAGAAGAAATGCATAATAGAGACAGTAAACAGAGGTGTGAGACAAAGGAATAGTAATAACGAAGAACAATAAAGTTTCATTGGAAATCATAAGTCACAAGGAGTGGGTGCATCTTCACTAGCCATCGAGAACGATCACTTTGAGCCATATCACAAATTGTCTTTTTCCAACCATTGATTTTTACCGTCCCGAAGACCCCAACTAGTCAGGAAGTCTACACCTTCCTACGTGGCTGGCTGGCTTAAACTAAGTGTTTTGGATTTCATTGACTGGTGAAGCCGTGTTTCGGTTTGACCACCGCTAGCTCTTTCCAGTCTGACCCTATGACAGCTAACATTGCCCACTGTCGAGGAAGGCAATGACTGGGCATCCGTAGCATGTGTCCTAACCATCTCATTCGGTGTGATTTCACGGCCTCGTCGATTGATATCCCCTCCTTACCTAAAACTCGACCAATGCCTAACCTCAATATTGCTCACCCAATTATACCACTTCACACGGGAGATAGAATGTAGGCACCTATGATCAAAGACAGTTAATCTTTTCATGTCTATCACTCTCAATGGCCAGGTCTCACAGTATTAAAGGAGGACGGAGCCGACTGCTGTGCTGTACACCCGCCCTTTTGATAGCCAGCCGGATATCTCGTCTACACCAGAGACGGCTCGAACTGGCATATGCGAAACTAGCCCTCTGTATCCCTACTGAGATTTCGTCAGAGGTCCACCCGTTGTGGCTGATGCAACTTTCCAAATAAATGAAGCAATCAACGTGCTCTACCTCTTCACTCCCTATTTCTAAACTAGGAGTCAATGTAGTCTAGTCCTGTACTATCATCTTAAATTTGGCGGAAGGTGGTAGAGCCAACGTGCTGGTTGTCATCTCATGGAAGAGTTAGTTTGTAGAAATTTGATGTGTTTCAAGTTTTCCACTACGGATTGATATCAGTTAGCGAACCAGAGAGTGAGTACTAGACAGCTGTTTCATCAGCCTAGTGCTTGGGATTCATTGGCACTACACATTCACCGCTAGGGTTCTAAGCTGTGGCCTTCTGGTTACAAGGCAGGCTGGTTGACTATTCAACCACTGGCTTGTGTTCGTGCTGAAATCACGAATTGGGTGAGAGTTGGAATTCATACATTGGTCATTGATTCGTGTTTCAGTGGCTACAATTGGTCTACAAGTGTACCTTGTACCCGGAAAGTCGTAAACTAGACTGAAGAAACAGCTGTCCACTACTCCCTGGTTGATTTTTCAATAGTTCTCCATTTGATATCGATCTGTGTTTAAATTTGAACCCTACATTATGATGTCAAGTGCTTGTAGTCTAACCACTATCAAAAGGACTTTTCTGGGATGATAGGACCGGTAGGAACATCGCTTCCAGCAATTTTAGCTCAGTTGGCCTGACTATTACGTCAAGGTAGCACTTTACAGTCGCTTGACTCCGTAGAGAATATATATGTGTATTACTCTAGATTAGAATGTTTAGAATGTTCTTTTCTGGCTTGGAATTTTAGTTAACAAGCTTGTCAGTTTCATGTTCGACATTGTTATCGAAATGCTCATCTCATTGAGGATGTTGAATGTCGCTCATTAACGAATCACACTCAGTGTATAAGTTACACTTACGTATAAGAGATTGAATTAGTCGAGTTACTTTGAGTATTCCCTAAGCCATAAGAAAAGAAAACGACATAAATAGCGAAGAAAATTTTCTATGCTTTGGTTTGTAAGGAGTAGTTTCGCTTTTTTACGATTTGACCATGGATTGATATCAGTTAGAGAACCATTGGAAAACCTGTTAGGAGTACTGGACAGCCAGCTATTTCATCCTAGTTTGTGAATCATTGGCAGTACACACCGACTGTCAGGATTCGAACCCAGGACCTTCCGGTTACAAGTCAGCAAGCTCGTATACCGTTCAACCATTGGGATACGATTCAATGGCCAGCTCATGAAGTCTAACTTCTAACCCCTACAAACCAAACTATAGAAAATTAATCTGATGCTTGTTAGTGAATTGCCACAGGATGGAGTTTCCTGGAGACAGTTCTAGTGAGAAACTGTGACCAATGAGGTTCATCCAGATGTCACGTGTGAGGATGGATATCCCACCTACGACAATGGTTGGGGTCGCGCTAAATCATGAATTGTTAGAAGTAGTTAGAATTCATGAGCCGGCCGTTGAATCGGGTTCCAGTGGCTCTGAATGGTATACGAGCTAGTTTACCTGGCCACTGAGAGTGGAAGACAT